TACAAAATTGCTCTCCTGACCCAGGGCCTATAACGGGTAGTCTGTAATCCTTGTGAACTGACAGGCTGAGGCAGGAGGATTCCAAGTATGTGGCCAGTCTCAGCAACTTAGAGAAGCCCTAAGCCACTTAGTGAGACCCTGTCTCAAAATAAAAAATAAAAAAGGATAGGGATATAGCTCAGTAGTAAAGCATCCCTGAGTTCAATCTACAGTAGTGAAAATACATACATACACACAAACATGTTAATGGCACAACATGTAATTTTTTTAAAAATTTATTTTTTGTAGTTGTACACAATCACTTTATCTTATTTATTTATTTGTATGTGGTGCTGAGGATCGAACCCTGGACCTTGCACGTGTAAGGCAGGCACTCTACCACTAGGCCACACCCCCAGCCCCAACATGTAATTTTTTGATACATGTACACCTTGTATGTTTAAACATACTTATGCCTCATTTACTATTCCTTTATGAAGAAAATTATCAAAATCCTTTCTTCTAGCTTTCCGAAATGTTCAGAACATACTGTTCTGTCTAGTTGCCCACTGTGCAACAGCACACCAGAACTTCTTGCTCCTAACTGTAACTAAGTAGCCACTGATTGRGGATTGCTCTCTAAGAAGTTTAACTCCACCCAGATCAAAGACTTTGGCCAATAAGAAGTCATTGTGAAGGCTAGAGTTGTAGCTCAGTGGTAGAGGCTTGCCTGGCAGGTGTGAGGCACTGGGTTTGATCCTCAGCACCACATATAAATAAATAAAATAAAGTTATTGTGTATCTACAACTAGAAATGTTTTCTTTAAAAAACAGAAATTGTGAAATGAAATCTTTTTCAATAACTTGTACTTTTTAAATATTTATTATTTAGTTATAGGTGGACACAATATCTTTATTTTATTTTATGTGGTGCTGAGGATTGAACCCAGTGCCTCTTGCATGCTAGACAAGTGCTCCACCTCTGAGCCACAACCCCAGCCCTGAAATCTCTTTTGAATGATTCTGTGAAAAAAAAATAAGCCTTTGCTTGAAACTGAAAATTATTTATGCTCATGATTATTGTACACAAACACATAAGGAGGTAGTTTGATGCCTACAAATCTGTTTGGTCTATTCCATCTTATATCATTTTCTCATTTACATATAAATTGCCATAAAACTACCTTTAAATATTAATTTAACATTGGGAAATGTTATAACTTCCCTTTCTTGTTTTAACTAAATGATTCTTCTGTTTAAACTTAAAATAATGTTTTTCTACTTTACAGTCCATAACACTTTATCACTCCCACATTTTCCCAAGTTCAAATTTCCTTCTCATTAAAGCTATTTATTTTGTGAATTTTAAAATGAGCACTTCCCCATTCTCATATAAGGATGATATTCAAGGAGGCTGGGGATATAGCTCAGTCAGTAAAATGTTTGCCTCACATGCACAAAGCCCTAGGTTCAATCYCCTGCACCCTCCCCCCAAAATGATATTCACAATACTTCCTCTTAATGTTTAGTTCAAGAATACTGTTTAAAGTACAATAATCTGTGCTTCTATGTATTTCTAATAGATATTTTCAAACCCAGGGGATGTTTGTAACTTTATGGGTTATTTGTTAAGTAAATACATAGATGATAAGGTGTTTCAAACATGCTTTGGAATGTGTTATTGATACATTCTATTGTCTTGAATTCCTCAACAAATTTCCGTTTCAAATTTTTTTTTTCATAGAGTATATAAATCTAGAGGGGCAAGGTGGTTTTCTAAGAGTATATTAATCTAGATTGGCAAAGTGGTACCCATCTATAATCCCAGTGACTCTGGAGGCTGAGGCAGGATGATCCCAAATTCAAGGTGAGGCTCAGCAATGTACACTGTAAGGACTAGGGATGTAGCTCTGTGGTAGAGTGCCCCTGGGTTTAATTGTTAATGCCAAAAAAAAAGAAAAAGTATATGAATAAAAACATTTATAGACACTCTCAGAGACTACTGAAATCATCTCTCTCTCTCTCTCTCTCTCTCTCTCTGACACACACACACACAAATCGACATTCCAACTAATAAATATACTAGGGCTGGGGTTGTGACTCAGTGATTGAGCGCTTCCCTCTCATGTATGAAGCGCTGGGTTTGATCCTCAGCACCACATTTAAAAAATAAATAAATAAAATACAGACATTGCTTCTATCTACAACTAAAAAAATTTAAATAATAATAATTATACTAGTAATTACTTTCACTTCTTGAACTGAGAAGTATATAAGTCAAAAACTTATATACACCTATAAGTCAAAAACTATAAGACATTAGTCTACTACTAGTATGAAATAGTTTTTCTGCTGAAAATTTAAAGAAATTACATTTTAAAACATGTCCATTTTAAAAATCTTATACAAAAAAAACTCTAGATAGCAAAAGGAGTATCACTCTTTAATAACATCAACTTCTAAACCTGGCTTTAAACACAACTCAGCACATTCCACCCATAAATAAAGAGTCAGACTTGTCTACAGCATTGAGGTATTTCACTGACTCAGAGACTCATGAGACAAGCTTTTACAAAAGGAAGGAACTTTAAACAGTGAAGTTTACTCATTAAAAAGC